GTTGAGATTCCATTTCCGGTTGTTGATGAAGACGATGAATAACTATCAATTAATTGATTTGATAATGAATTATTTTTTGTTAATAAATGCGAACCATTTATTGTTGATGATGATGTTGAGGTATTATAGATATCAAAATCATATCCACTTGGTGTTAATGATGATGATGACCATATTGGCGAATTGGTTGCTGTAATCGTTGATGCAAGACCACCACCACCACCACCACCAACAGCTGCTGCTGCAGCTGCAGCAGCAGCCGCAGTAGCTGCTGCGGCAGCAGAAGAACTACTACCAACGCCCAGGCCAGTCTGATGTTGTAATTGAGATTCATTGGAAATTGAACGCATTTTTAACAGAGATCTTTTGTTGTTTTCATTTGTTGTTTGTTTGAACAAATATTGATAATTGGTGATAATCCTTGTTGGTGGTCGATTACTATTTTACATTCATAAGCTTTTTGTTTCAGTTTTATTTTACAGAATCTGTCGAATTTTGAAAACAAAATCAATCATTGTTTTTTTTTTAGTTCAAACATGAACATAAAACACACACACATAGGCAGACACATTGAACTTTGTCGGCAACAAACAACAGTTATTATTATATAAACACAAACATATTGATGGTTGATTTATTCACATTCATTCAAATTTGATACGATGACCACACAAATTATTATCATTTATGTGATTGATTATGATTATGATTAAGACATTAGAATCATAAAATTGTTATTAATTGCTACTGTTGTTGTTGTTGTTGTTTGATGGATACAAAAAAAAAAATTTCTCTTAAATCACTGTGGATTTATGTTGACACAATGTGTGTGTATTATGAGGGAAAGTAATAATAACGGTGATGTTGATGACCACACACACAAATACACACACTCATAAAAAAAACAAACTTTATGTGAATTATAAAATAAAGAAGAAACATTCAAATAATAATAATCATAATAAACAGAAGTAATACACACACATACACACATGAACCAGAATTTTGATGATGATGATGATCATTCATTGAATTTTTTTTTTTTATTTTTATTTTTTTTCAAGGAAAATAAAACTGAATTTGAAACAACCACAACAACAACAACAACAATAAAAATTATATATTTTTTTTCAAATGTTGAATAATAAAAATCATAAATGAGAGAGAGAGAAAGAATAAAATTGTTGAAAATCAAATGATTGATGAAATAATTATATCAACAAAATGATGATGATGATGATGAGATTGGGAGGAGCTCCAAATGATGATGATGATGATAATGATGACCAAATTGATAATGAAATTATGATGAATAAAATCCTTTTAACGGCTATTTTAACAGGTCATCATCATCATCATCATCATCATCATCATTATTATTATTATGATCATCATCGTAAACATTATTATTATCATCACTTTCACTATATCGACACTAATTTTGTTGCTGCTGCTGCTGTGGCTGTTATGTTTTGCGAAACGAAATGATATTATAAATCGGTTTTGGTCGATTGTCGTAAAATAGCAAAAACAAGAAACAAGAAAATTGTAAAGAATTATTATTATTGACAATAATAAATACGAATATATAAAATAAAAAAAAAAAAATTTTTTTTTATTACATCATCATCATGATCAAATATAAAAAAACATGTATGGAAAAAAAAACACTTAAGTTCATCTCATCATGATCATCAGAAAAAAAAAAAAATTGTGGGTGTGAAAAATCTCTTTCTCTCTATGTGTACGTTTATATTCGTATCATATCATCATCTGAATGATTCTCGTTGGCTTTCATGTTGCTGTGTTGCTGTGTGTGTGTGTGTTTTATGTTTGATGATGATGATGATGATGAAGAAAAAGAAAATTGTTCGAGTTTGCGCAGCACAATCTTGTTAATATTGGATTCAAAGATTATTAGTGATTTTAACAACAACAAAATTCAAAAAGAGAGAGAGAGAGAGAAAATCATTTCATTTTCAGGTTTTATTTTGGATGCGCAATATAAAAAAAAACTGAAATGAAATGAAATGAAAAACGAAAAACGTGTGTGTGTGTGTGTGTGTGTCTGTGTGTTCATAGAATTCAACGAAACCAAACTACAAAACAAAACAGAACTTTGAATTGAAATAAATTGAACCAACCACATTGAAAACATGGCAGCTGTATGTTTCTGTGGGATTTGGGTATTTTATGTTAACAACTATGAAACTATCAAATAGGAAAAAGATACTGGGTATCCAAATAATCATCCACCAACATGATGAAATCAACCATCAAATGAATCGATGATGATGAACAAGCAAACAAATCAATGGGATACATCAATTCATTTTTTCGATTCAATTCAATGATGATGATCTCATGGTCTGAATCAACTACATCACTACCAATCAACCAACCAACCAGCAGACAACAGTAACAACACATACCAGAATGATGGGGAAGAAAAAAAAACAACATCAACATCAACAACAACACCAATCTTCATAACATCATCATCATCATCATATAATAATATTATGTTCAGATATTCGTTGTTTGCCGTTGTTTATTCATCGTCGTCGTCGTCGTTAATGATGATAATAAAATGATGGTAATAATAATCCGTAGCACAACCGGAGAAAAAAAAACATACGTGTGTATCTGTGTATCTGTGTGTGTGTAGCAAAAAGTAAAAAAAAAATGTGAACCAAAAAGCAAGCGTTGATTTTGATGATGATGATCATGAAAAATGCTAATAAAATAAAATTAAAAAAAACAATCCCGAAACATTTACCAATGAGACACATATATACTAACATTTCTTAAATGATGATGATGATGATGATGAGATTTGAATTTCAAATTTGAATGATTTTCAATGTTTCAATAGCTAATACAACCAGCCACACTTTATGTGTGTGTGTGTTTTGTTTGGTTTTGGTGCATCTACACTCCCTGTTTCTCTTTCTTCTCTCTCTCTCTCTCCCTATGTACCTCTGTTTGAATTTGAATTTCAGTTAGTTTGGTTGGTTTGTTTGTTGAAGTTTTTTTTTAGTCTTTAGTTTGTTGGCCATTGTTGAATTCTGTTGTTTTGTTGTTGTTGTTGTTGTTCTGCTACTGTTATTGTAGCGAATACAACTACCTCTCAATATTCTGAATATGGCTCCACCCAAATATTTTATTCATTCATTCATTCATTGATTTAAAACAACCAGATATATATATAGCCATTCTTATTTGAATGAATTGAAATTTTCAACATTCAAATATCAATTCGATTAGCCATAATGATTACATGTGTGGTGTATCATAAATTCCAAAATTGATGGTAGTAGTAGTAGTAGTAGTTGGTAATGATAGAATAATTTTTCTGTATTTAGTTGTAGCAGTCATCAAGTGGATGTTCCAACAATCATTTGGTTTTTCTTTTACTTGTATATAATTCATTTTTGAAATTCTTAAAGTATATGATGATGATGATGATGACAATAAAAGTGCTACGAAAACCTCATCATCATCATCATCACCAATGATCAATGATCATTCAATTTAACCACAAACACTGACAATAACAACAACAACAACAACAAATTTCGACAGCGTATTTAAATGTCGTAAAAAATTCTAACATCTTGATATGTTTCAATCTCTCTCTATCTATCCATTCGATTGATACAGTTGTCATTTTTTTTTTTTTTTTTTTTTTGATAAAAGTCCAGGTTATTGTTGAACGAAAAAAAAAGTTGTTGAACAAGAATTTTGTCTTTTTGACCCTAAGAGCAATTGAAATTGAAAATTGAATGAATTTTTTTTTATTTTTATTTTGATTTTCATGACAAAAATTAGATAAAAACGAAAAATTACCACTCTATTCATAACTTGGATTAATTAAATTCATAGATCATCGTACACACACATGCAGAATGAAGTGATAATTTCTTGATTTGAACATCTTTTGATGCCAAACAAAAAAAAATGACAATAAAAAAAGGCAATTTTCACACAAAAAACACAAAAACCGGCTATGAACAATAATAATTTTTGGCAACATTTTGTCAAAGCGGTAGTTATCCATTAACACTACACTAGATTTTACCTATCTTTTTTTTTAAAAATGATGATGATAATAACAAAAAAAAATTATGTGACTAATTATGATTGGCATAAATAATTATTATATGTAAATTTTGTTTTCTTGTTGTTTATCTTTTGTTTGCACATTCATTCACATTGAATTTTCGACTTGTTTGTTATCGGATCATTTTTTTTCTCTGGATCATCATCATTGTTTGTTTTTCATAATTGTCATTGACAATTGTGAAAAAAAGGGTGGCTACCAACACCATGATGATGTGAAAATTGTGTTTGAAAATCATAATCATCATCATCGTCATTATAATGATTGGAAAAAAAACCAAATCAAAAATTATCATCAGATCATCAGGTCGTATTAAATGACAAATAAAATATACATTGTATAATATACCATTTGTTGTCAATCAATGATGAACAACAACAACAACAACAACAACAAAAATTTGAGAATTGATCACCACATACGAATTCGCCATTATTTTGTTTGCCTTTTTTTTTGAAAATAAAAACCACCATATATATTGATGGTAGCAGTTATTCTGTATTCAATGAAAACAAAACAAAACAAAAACCCGTTTATAACTAAAAATCTGATTGGATAGAAACAACAACCACTATAGTAAAACCAAAAAAAAAAAAAGCCAACATTCACACCACCGGTTTGTTATATAGGTGGAATTCATGATGAAAGCCACGCCTTTATTCTAGTAGAAATAATGGTAGCAAAAAAAATGTCATGCGCATTCCAAAATGTTTCAAGCTTTTATTTTGTTTTTGTTTTCATTTCATTTTCATTTTTGTAATAAATTTAATTTTACGATCATTTCATTGATCATGACCAATCTCAATAGATTAATCAATCATTCAATCAATTAATTGATTAATTTCTGATAATTGGTTCGTAATTAATGGTAATTGAATTCAAATTGTGTGTGTCTGTTTTAATGTTCTAAATTTATTGAAATGATGATTAACATAATCATCATCATTAACAATAATTTGATTTTCAAAATTCATTTGGAAGAGAGCAACAAACATTGTTCAGCATCAGAATATTCGGGTAAATTTAATTGATATTTTTGTGCCAATGATTGTGGTACAAAACGGCCACCCAACCAATGTAGTGATCCACGAAAATGTTGTGCACATTTTTTCGGTGCTGTCAATGATATGAGACAATCTGGTTTTATGATTGGTGTTAATGATTGACCATTGGTATCATTTTCGGATGATGACGATGACGATGGTCCATGTTCGACATGCCAACCACTTGGTATATCAATCGAAATCAATCTTTTATTTTGATGATCAATTCGGGATAAATTTTCCAATATTGGTCGTGATTCAGCACGTAATGGTGGTTTAAAGCTAAAACCAAACAAAGCATCCACAATCAATTTATACGAATCTAATTTATCAACATTGTTAATGAATTCAATGTCCATTCGTTTACATTGATTAACAAGATTTACAAATAGTTGTCCTTTTCCTTGTTTCGGATAAATAATGACTGGATTATAACCCTTTGAATAGTATTTTAAAAAAAGTATTACTGTGCAACCATTCAATTCAGCTGTTTGATTACTTACGAAAAGTTTTAGATGACGAGCTGCCACTAGACCATCACCACCATTATTACCGGGACCACATACAACCAATATCTGACCGGGCGGTTTGTAAATAGGATCCAAAGATCCAGATTTATAAATAGCAGATGCAACCGATAGACCGGCAAGTTCCATCAATTGATCGACACTAAATTGATATTCATTGAATAATTCTTGATCAAAATTTATAGCTTCTGTTTGGCTATGAGAAAAAAAAGAAAGAATGAGAAAGAATATTTCAAAAAAAGAAATGAATTTCATTATTAGATTTCAAACCTAAGAAATTTTATTCGACAAATACTATCATTGAAAAGAAAACGTTTCATCAACATATCTGTTGTTGAATTTGAATGACAGGACCATACAAATTTTTGATCGATTCTTCTATTAATTAATTTAACAAAACAAACCTTAAGAATTTCATTTTCATAATTTTATTTGCAAATCGAATACAAGAAAAATAAATTTTTTTTTTCACGAAAATATCACCAAACACAATTTGATATGTAAACAGAAACATTGCAAACGCATGCCATCTCTGAACGATTATTTGCATTAATCATCATCATTCGAGTCTATTGTTGTTTCCATCCATGTTTTTCACATCAACATCAGTGTGTGTGTTTGTTAATCGTAGAAACGAGTTTTATTTAGATGTGTGAAAACACGCCGATTTTTTTTGTTGGTTCAAATTGAATCCTGTTGGAATTTTATCACTCATTATCGACATTCATTATAAATAGTTTCAAAATTTTCGATTGTCAATTCTGACTTGTCTAGTAATATTACGGATACAAAATGGACCGATCTAAAGTTGGCACACGTATTACATTGAGTGATCGTTTTAAATTGATACGACAAGAACAACAAACACGTAAAATAATGGTCAATCCATCAATCGAATCACCTAGTGAACAACTTGTTCGACCGATGAAAAATTTCAATGGCACTGTTTCTCGTAATGATCGTCCACGAGCTCTTCTTCAACAAGGATCCGAACGAAATCGACGATTAGTACTTCAGATGGCAACCAATGCTCAATTGATGGAAGAATTGCAACAGAATACCAAGATGTTTGTTAATTTACCTATTGTACAACAGGCAAACAATACTCCCATCATCAATAATAAACGAATGGCAAACAAACCAAGTATTCTAAATCGAATAGGATTGCAATCTAGCAATTCGATTCGTCGAAATGGTAACTCAGTTACGGGTAGTATTAAGAACCGATTAGGACGAAAACCAATAACTCAACGACTTGGCCTGGCACAGACACTTAAATCCAATCGACGTAAGTTCAAATTTTCTTCTAAAGTGGCAGATAATTTTTTATGATTATTTTAGGAATCAATCTCCAGAATCAAACGAAAGTAATGCGTCAGCCTACACGAATATTTAGATCTAAGAATCGACCGATCAATATGAATATCGGTTCATCGAATCGTCGAATTCGAGGTGGACGTCAAGTTTCAAGGAAAAATAATAATTCTCGAGTCACGGTTGAAAGTTTGGATCAAGATTTAGATTCATACATGAACACCGCTGGATCTCATATGATGATGTAATTTTGGTATTTTTTTCCATTCACTTTCTTTCTCACACCCAACCTCAAACAACATCATTATTTCACATTATATGTTTATAATAATAATATTTAATACTGGATCATCAAATTATGTTTCATTTATATAAGTCATTGATAATAATGATCGTTTGCTAAGAGGAATAATAAGAAAAACCCATTTCTAAATTTTCAAAGTTAACATCAGTGAATACATCTAACGCCATCTTTTGATTGTATGTGATGAACAAAAATTTTGGACCATTAATGTCAATATAGTCAATACTATAGTTTTGCCGAATCATTCACGCTACTATTCTATTTTTTTATTGAAGTGTTGGTTTTGTCACTTGACAATTTTAAAATTGTTTTTGTCCATTATTTTTTATCATAATTCAAAATCATGGCCAGTGAACGTTATAGTTTTTCATTGACAACATTTAGGTGAGTTATAGATTGATTGAAAATTGTTACAAGATGAAGATGTTGATGAAAAATTTTTGATTGTATTTAGTCCTTCGGGAAAATTGGTACAAATTGAATATGCCTTAGCTGCTGTTGCTGCCGGAGCTCCTTCAGTTGGAATCAAAGGTTTGTTTGATTGTTCATGATTGTATTGTCCGATAATAATTATCAAAAATTGTCCTATGTTTAGCGATGAATGGAGTGGTGTTGGCTACTGAAAAGAAAGCTAATTCCATTCTCACCGAAGAACATAGTCTATATAAAGTGGAACAAGTAACCGATCATATTGGAATGATTTATTCCGGTATGGGCCCTGATTATCGTTTACTTGTACGTAAAGCAAGGAAAATTGCCCAAGAGTATTTTCTTATCTATTCGGAGCCGATTCCGACCACGCAATTAGTTCAACGTGTTGCTCATATTATGCAAGAATATACCCAATCTGGCGGTGTTCGTCCATTTGGTGTTTCTTTATTGATTGCCGGTTGGGATGGTGATCGTCCCTATTTGTTTCAATGCGACCCATCTGTAAGTGAAAATAATGTTTATCAATGATTAATTATTCACAAATCTCGATTTTCCTTAAAAGGGTGCTTATTTTGCATGGAAAGCAACAGCATTGGGAAAAAATCACGTAAATGGTAAATCATTTCTGGAGAAAAGATATAGTGAAGATCTTGAATTAGAGGATGCCATTCAAACGGCAATATTAACATTGAAAGAATCATTTGAAGGACAAATGACCCAAGATAATATTGAAATTGGTATTTGTAACAGAAATGGCTTCTTCAAACGTTTATCACCGTCCGAAGTGAGAGATTATCTGGCAACCATTGCCTAGTGGAGTTGTATCAATTTTTATTATTAATAAAAATAAATTTTATGAAATAAATATGAAAAAAAGTTCATTTTGTATGCTCATTAAATTTTATTAGAAAATGCATTTCTATGATAACTTAAAAAAATAAGGCATAAATTGGACATTTGTCATTTGGTTAATTATGAATGAAATAATATCGAATCCATTCTCCTCATCATTTTCATTCACGAACATAGGTTAAAGCATTTCTATGTCTTTTTCAATAATTGTCGTAGCATATATTGCAAGATGCCACCATTTTTGAAATATTCCAATTCAACTTCGGTATCAAATCGCATGATGACCTCGAATGTTTTACCATCAGCCTAGCATGGAAAGAATGAATTAAACAAATGTCTTTATTTATTATTGTTTATATCAAACTTACATGAACAGTTGTTTTCTGTCGTGGCATCAATTCGGTCGGAATGTCAATCGAAAAGATTTCACGCCCAGTTAGACCAAGGGATTCGGCACTTTGATCATTTAAAAATTGCAATGGCATTATTCCCATGCCCACCAAATTACTTCGATGAATTCGTTCATAACTTTCAGCAATAATGGCTCGAACTCCAAGCAAACATGGACCTTTGGCAGCCCAATCACGACTGGATCCACAGCCATAATCTTTTCCAGTCAAGATTATCAACGGAATCGATTCTTTTCGATAAAGTTCAGCAGCATCAAATATGCTCAATTCTTGACCACTTGGAATATGTATGGTTTGGGGTCCCGGTTTCGACATAAACTTGTTCACCAATCGAATGTTAGCAAAAGTTCCACGAACCATGATGGCATCGTTGCCTCTTCGTGATCCATACGAATTGAATTGAGAAGGTTGGATGCTAAATAAACAATGGGAAACAAAAAATTATAAAATCGGAACATTTATAATTCACTGTTAAACCAACCTTCGTTCCATCAGATATTTGGCTGCAGGACTATTGCGGGCAATCGAACCAGCCGGAGAAATATGATCGGTAGTAACCGAATCACCTAGATATAGCAAGACTCGAGCATTGTTAATAGGCTTGATTGTCGGTAATTCAATGGTCATTCCATCGAAATATGGTGGTTTTTTGATATAAGTCGAATTCGGATCAAATTGATAGAGCAAAGATTCGACAGCTTTCAAACTGTTCCATCGTTCATTTCCAGTTTTGATTCTCGAGTAAACTTCTTTAAACATAGCCGGAATAACAGATCGTTGTTGAACTTGGAGAATTTCTTCCCGTGAAGGCCAGATATCACGGAGAAATATTTTGCCACCCGAACTATCGAATCCGATCGGTTGAGTTTCGAAATCAATTCTCACGGTACCAGCAATAGCATAAGCAACAACCAATAATGGTGAAGCTAAATAATTTGCCCGTGTGTTGGGATGTACACGGCCTTCGAAATTTCGATTGCCCGATAAAATACCGCAAGCAACTAAATCACCTTTTTCAATGGCTTCAACAACTTCTTGTGGTAATGGTCCACTATTACCGATACAAGTCATACAACCATAGCCAACGATATCGAAACCAAGTTTTTCCAGATATGGAGTGACACCAGATTCACGAAGATAATAAGTGACCACACCGCTACCAGGTGACATACTTGTTTTGATGTATGGTTTGACGGTCAGTCCCTTTTCCACCGCTTTCTTGGCCAATAAACCAGCGCCCAACATTACCGAAGGATTGCTTGTATTCGTACATGAAGTGATGGCCGCAATGACAACCGATCCATGTGATAGAACATATTGTTTGTCTTCAAAATTGAATGCCATTGATTTCTCTAATGCATCCGGTGCAATGCCATATCCTTTGAAACCAACTTTATCAAGCAAACATTGTTCAAAATCTTTTTTCATTTCATCCACCGGTACCCGATCTTGTGGTCGTTTCGGTCCACTCAGACTGATTTTGATAGTGCTCAAATCTAATTCACAGACCTGTGTATAGGTTGGATCTTCACCAGCATCATTATAATCATTGCGAAATAATTTGATGGCCTTGAGATATGATTCAATATATTTGATGGCATGTTCATCTCTACCGGTTTGTTGTAGATAATTCATCGCTGTCGAATCGGGCGGGAAAAAAGCAATGGTAGCACCATATTCAGGACACATATTGGCAATGGTAGCACGGTCAGCGATTGAAAGTTCAGAAACACCGGGACCAAAAAATTCTACAAACTTTCCAACAACACCAACTTGTCGCAAACATTTAGTGATGGTCAAAACGACATCGGTGGAAGTTGCGAACGATGGCAATTTCCCAGTCAATTTATAGCCAATAACTTCGGGTAAAACCATACAAATCGGTTGACCTAACATGACAGCTTCGGCTTCGATTCCACCAACACCCCAACCAACAACACCAAGACCATTAATCATTGTTGTATGACTATCGAGACCGACCAAACTGTCTGGATACAATAGACCACCATCATTATTGAACACAACACGAGCCAAATATTCCAAATTGACCTGGTGACAAATACCGGAGCCAGGTGGAATAATCATCGTATTTTTTAGGGAATTTGCACCCCATTTTAAGAATTCAAAACGTTCACGATTACGTTGAAATTCAAGATCTTCATTTTTGGACAACGAACCAGCACTATTGAATGAAAAATCAAAAATAAAAAAATAAAACAAAAATAGAGATCAATTTCAGCATAAACAATAAATTAAAAAATGATATGTTAAATAGAACTATTCATGTGAATAATCAAAAGTTAAATAAAGAGACAAAAGTAGGAAATTGTTTGAAAAAACAAAATAAAAATGTTTCCAACCCAATAGAGACTAGACGATGGAAGGGACAATTTTTATCTCTTAATTTAGTATCACGATGAGGACAATATTCTTTATTATTTATGGAAGAGGCACTATGAAATTGTGGCATTGATGATATGGTTAGATTCTCAATATCGGGAATATAACTCTGTTGATTGTATGATGAACGTAATTTTGTGCGATTATTATGATGATGACGATTATGATGATGAGATGACGATCGAGGATCATTATTATCATTATGATTAGAAGATAATGATGGCGATGATGAGGATGGATTCCGTAATGGAACAGGACTTTTTATCAATGAAGCTTGATATTGACAGTAGCCCAAATTATGGCAGTCATCACATAGATCAATATTATTGGAATGTTCATGTTTCATTTTTGATTGTTGTTTTGAGTTCTGTTGACGTAAAACCTGTTGATTTCTATCCATCATTCAAGATTGTTTCGAGGCGAAAAATTGGAAATATTGGCATGTTATAATAGCAGATGTTATACATTACATAATAACAATAATAATGATTATAAATGGTCAGAATGAAAAGCCGTTTGTTTCAAATGAAAAAATATTAATTGAAAAACATGTGCGTTAATGTGAATGTTGCAAACTGCAAAAAGTTTCTTAGATAGAAGGATGGATTTGTAATTTCAGATAATGAATAAAATACGTACACTCGAGCGAAATCCACTTGTACAGAATGATCGATAACCAAATCGGCAGGACAAAGTGGATTGATTACATTTGGATCACCTTTTAGTTCATTGAATGCATCTCGCATGGCTAAATATGGATTATATGAAAATCATTTGAATGATGAATGAATCAATGAACTTTAGAATAATGAATAGAATGTTACCAGCAAAATCAACAACGGCAGCAACGCCAGTCAAATCCTGAAGTAATACACGACTTGGCCGAAATGGTATTTCCACTTTGTTGAATTGTTGTTGTTTCCAATCCAGAATTTTTTCCACATCTTCACGTTTGACATGAAAATTGTCACATGAACGTAATGCAGATTCCAATAGTACTCGAATTGAGAATGGCAATGTTTCTATAGTTTGATGGATGGGAGAAAATAATCATAGACAGACACACAGCACATCAAACACATACCATAACGTGAATCATTCAATGATGGTAAATCATAAAAACGATATTGTTTGCCATCGACATTGATATTTTTCATTAACAGTGAATCATATGGATTTTCTGTTCATTAAAGATAATTCAATGAGTATTTCTCTTTAATTTATTCATTAGAAAAATTAAAATATTTACCTTTTGTCGACATTTTTAATGTTTAAATCAATTAGCAGTGATTAACTTGAATTAACCAAAATAAAAAATGGAAAAAAATTTTAGACAAAACAAATGTACAAGTGAACCAAGTTTTTGAGTAGAAAATTATCGATCAAGGAGAAAATGTCAGTGTATATAAGCAAACTGGTCTCCAACAATCAACAATGCTGATGGTTAATGAGCATCTAGTGGGATGACTAGTTGCACAGTGTGGCTTAATAATGAGGCAAATACAAGTTGTTTTTCCTCTATATTTTGCCACAAAATCAATTTCAACAATTAGTTGTTGTTGTTATTATTGGGATGTACCGAAAAGAGAGATACAAAAACAGAAAATATGGGCGATAAATTTATAAAAATAAGAGGAACAATTTAATCTTGATAATCACTATCCTTTCCTATGTACAAATTGACAAATTGACGATATAAAAAAAATTCGTACGTTCTTCCAATTGTATGTACATGGTAAATAAATGATAATAATTTTCAAAGGAAATTTCCTCTCGTTTATAAATCAATGGAAAAAAATTGAAATTAATACGAACCGATTATTTGAATTATGGATGATTTATGGACAATTGTTAAATTTTAATCGATGATTTATAAGGATTTTAGCCTGGCAAAAAATATACTTTTCATAATTTTCAATCAAATAAACGACGTGTCTAATCTGCAGATTTCTTTAGCTTGTTGATTGATTGATTGATTGATTTGATGTCCCGAACAAATAAATTTGACGCGGCATCTTTTTAAACAGCAACGGTTGTGCTATGTTTAAATAGCCACAATAATTATGTTTTTTCTTATGACCTTTTTTGTTTTGGATAGCTTAATTGAATTGAGTTTTTGGTTTGCTTCAACAAAATTTTTGTGAACCATTCATTTTTGGACCGTGATCGATAATGTGGTGGGAAGCATTACCCGCTTGTGGTGCCATGTTGGCATCAATGTCTCTGCTGGAAATTTCTCCATTCGTATGTATTTTTGTATTATATAATGACATGGTTTTGATTTTTGTTGTGATTAAAAATTTTTTTCCAGGTATTTCATTACCTCAGTTGGGGATGTCCGATGATGAGAGAATCAAATGGAATAATATCACGTATGTTATTACGTCGTGATCAACGTATTGCTGAAGACAATGGTATTCGATGGAATGCCAAACATATGTACACATTTTCATTTGGTTCATTGAGTCCCGAAGTGAAAACAAATGGAAATTATAGCCATTATTTGGAAGCTGAAAAAAGAATGTCACAACAACAACAACAACAACAATGATGAATGAATGAATTGTTTTTCCGATGATGATTGTTCCTTGTATAGATTGATTAATTATAATTTGATTAATTCAGATGAAAATAAACAAAACAAAAACAAATCAAAATAATGTCTCTTTATTCAATTCAACAACAGCAAAAAAAATTGTTCATTATTTACACAGACACATATAACAGATTTCTATTTAGATAATATATATTTAGATTAGAGTAGAGTATAGATCACATCGAAATTGTTTTTGTTGTTTTGACTGAGTGAGATTAATCAATTAATAATTGTTAGTTAGTTAGAGATAGTTATTAGGATTAGATGACAAGGCAATGACCAACAACAACAACAACAATAACAAAAAACTCAAATTGCATATTGATCATATGATTGTACAACGATTCGTTTGATTAATGAAAGACTTTTTGTTAGAAGATAATGCATAGTGTGGATTGTCACAATGATAACAAGGTAGTGTTAGATGATTTCCACCTGCCATGATTGCAGGATTATGATGATGATGATGATGATGAGCATGATTACCGATGCACATTGTACCATCTATCAATGATACATCGGGTGTTGTTTGTGAACGCCAAAGTTTACCACGTGTTTTCGGATTCGTTTGCCACAATAAAGGAGCTGTTACCGTTGATGTGGGATTTGGACGTGCCATAATCTGTAATGTTGTTGTTTTATGTATGACATGCGGTTTGTTCAAACCTCCTATATTGATGGTTTGCGGATGGACAACGGGTGTATTATTACCACATATATTATTTTCGGTTAGTAATTGTTTCAAAGTTCGAAATGATCGTGTCAATCGGGATGTTGCATGGTTGTTGCCTCCATTGTCACCATTACATCGTTCGATAGGTTGTTGTTCGTTTTTTTTGATTTCAATTTCTTCCACGGGCGTTGGTGCAGCAATCGATTCTGATGTTTGTTTCGACGAAGTTATTTGCTTTTTAGGTGGATCTTTCTGAATTTTGACCGATTCTTTTACGGGTTGATCATTAGATTTGGCTGTTTCAGGTGGTGATATTGATGCTGGTTGTGGTGGTGGTGGTGGTGGTGAAGCTCGGTCATTACTATTTGTGGAGAACATTTTCTGCAATCGAGATTTACCACTAGATTTTCGGGAATCATTTGATGATTGATTTATTTTGATCAATTTTGGATTCTTCGATTTATCCGCCACTTGATTCGTTGCTTTATCAGATCGAAATGGTGGTTGACATTGACCATTTACCATTGGTTTTAGTGGCTGTCCTGATTTTTGATTTGATGGATGAGTACGTTGTTTTTCCAGTTGAGCTTTTCGTGCATAATGAGCCCAAATTCGATCTAATGGAGCTACATTCATACTGGTCGTACGACGAATTGGACTCATACTATTAGTATCATCCAAATCATTATGATGCGACGATTGTTTTCGTTGCCGTTCCATTGATTGACGAAGAACTCGATGCATCAATATACGAAAAGTGCCCACAATATGGCTATGTGAACCTTTATCAATATGATCACTCAATACTTGTTCATCGATTCCAAGTAACATGAGCTGGTGGAATGTTTCTTTTTCATCGTCATTCAATGGTGGATATTGGCGATTATCCACCGATTCGGTTGTTGTTGTTGTCGGTGGTGGTGATGATGATGATGATAATTTGCCTGAATTTCTATGTTTAATCAATTTAGCATAAGAATTTTTAAGATCATATTTTGGCAAACTTCGTTGATGTGGCTGATTGTGCAACCATCGTGTATTACGAGCCTGTTCTAGTGTATAACGTTTCAAAGGATCAGGCTGTAGAAATGCGGCAATTAATTGGCAACATTCTACACTAACATAATTGGGTATATCATAACGACAATCTAAAATCAATTTCTTCAATGAAACAATATTCTGAGCACGAAATGGCATCAATCCGGTGACAATGAAATAGAGTAGAACGCCTAAAGCCCAATAATCAACATAGGGGCCACGATATGATTCATCACGAAACAATTCAGGTGCAGCATATGGTGGTGAACCACAAAATGTTGAAAGCAATTCGTCTTTCGATGCAATACGAGTGGAGAAACCAAAATCACCCACTTTGACAGTGGCTGGATCAGAAAAGAATACATTCTCTGCTTTGATATCCCGATGGATCAGATTATGTTGATGCTGTCAACGAGATTAATGTTAATATGATAATAATTTTTCAAATCAAATTGTCGTACTCACCATATGATCAATAGCGCTGATTATTTGTGAGAAAAAATATTTTGCCTCTGATTCGGAAAACCTGCCATTAGTTGAGATCACTTGAAATAATTCGCCTCCTGGTGCCAATTCCATGACTAAAAAATGTTTACTAAACGATTCAATCACTTCGAATATTCGAATCAGATTCGGATGGTGTAATGTTTCCATAGTACGTATTTCTCTGGACAACATTTTCTGTGTTTTCATATCCAAACGTGATTTGTCCAATATTTTGACCGCTACTTTTTCTACGAAAGATTACAAGTGAATGTTGAAATATAGCAATATATTACAATTTACCTTTGGTCAATGAATGAATGGCTATTTTTACTCGGGAAAAATTTCCATTGCCAATATCACCACGAAATCGATAAAGACCGATACGTCGTCCGAATGCAATCTCTTTTTGCCATGTTTTATCCACTTCAAGAGCTTGTAGAATTCTCTCATACGGTGTTACTATTCTAACATTTTGTTGTTTATTAAAACTTGCACTACGTCTTTTTCCCGAAGCTGGATTCTTGTCCGCTGATATGGAACAATTTTTCGCATGGTGATTCGACGAAGATGATGTTGATTTATCCGATGATGCTGATTTTGATCCACGTGTAAATATTTTACATTTTCTTTCATTTGAGTCCGATTCTACGGTGGTTGTTGTTGTTGTCAACGTGGGAGTATTGATATTATTACCATGGTCGGATGTGGTTGATGTTGTTGTCGTCTCTTCCCAAGAATCTCCCAATGAATCTACTGTATCAGAATTGTTGGATTTATGTTTGAGAAATTTCAACGATTTCAATTTGTTCTGTGAATTGGCAATATGCTGGTGGTGATGGTGATGATGATGATGGTAATGCGCATGGTGGGGATGATGACCATTACAATGGTGGTGATGATGATGATTGGCTGAAGATTTACCATTACGATGCTGTCTCGAAGATGATGGTGTTTCTGCCGAATGACTAGATTGTTGCCGTTGTATCAATATTTGTTGGTATAGATCCAATTCTTCAGCCAATTTCAATCGCCAATCAATCGATTGATCATCTTGATTGATCATTTTTTTCTTTTTACTTTTTTTCGAATCATCTTTGGATAAAAGATCATGATGATCACAATTTTCGACCGGTGGCAATATTTGGTTTTGTTCATCCGGTGCAGGTGCCATATCTATTCGAGTGATTTTTTCCTTTAATTTTATCTGATGACGATGATTGTTCAACGAACTAATTGCTGTCGATTTATTATTGTTAACATCCACTGGTTTCGGTTGTTGTTGCTGTCTTGAACGTCGTGGAACAGTTCTAGGTGGTGGTGGTGGCGGAAGTATCTGTGGTTTTTGTGAACACGTTTTAGCTTCCCTCTGATGAATGACAGTTGATGATTGTTGTTGATGCAAAGATGTTGAACGATGTAGATGACATTTATCGCTGAAATTACTAGAACTGCTTCGACTGCTACAAACACTATTATCACTATAATGTTGATGTTTTCCATCAATCAATGTATTCAATATGGATGGTGGTGATGGAGGCGTAGGCGTGGGAGTTGGTGATGAACATCGTTTCTTTTTAATTTTATTAATATCTCCATTATGATTATGATGATGATCAATATCTTGATTCAGACCACTATCAACATCTTCATCATCATTATCATCGTTGTTGGTGGTCACCAATACAATCGATTGATGATGGTTATGATTATCGTTATTATGAACATGAACACCCACTTCATTTGTACAATCAGTAGTTGTTGAATTTATTGTCATCCTTAATTGAAATTGAAATAAACATAAAAAAATGAAAAAAATTTTAAAATGATAACATCTCTGGAAATCTGAAAAAAAAAAATAAACTAATCCGTTGTGAACATTTTTAACATTTTTGAACGAATGTCATAGAAATGAATGAATGAATGAATGAACGATGATGTATGTCGCTCATGTCGACAACAATGATCAGCAATGATCATCAATAGTAGTAGAAACACTTGAATCAAGAGGTATATAACACCATTGTTGACAAATGGCCATCATTTGAGGATCTTTTTTTTCGAACTCGAAATTCAAACGTTTGTTTATTGTTGGAACAAAAAACACACTATACATTGATCATCGAAAAAAAAAAAAATTCAACCACACCGAATTGTCCGCGATAGTCGAGTGTTGTTTTTTTCGTTTCGTTCTATAATATTACGTGTGTGCGTATGTGTGAATGGGAGTGCAATAATTTGAACAAGACAAGCGAAACGGGAAAAAAAATGACAGCCAGTTAGGATCATTTTCAATGGTTTTGATCACCAATTAGAGAGTTTGATAGATTTCGGGCGTCGAGCATTTATTTTTTTTTTAAACAGAAAAAAAACAACTCTTTATTCAAGAGGAAAAAAATCGAAGCATAATAATCATAAATTAGTGAGCAAGACCGTCGAACGATGATGTTTAAACACAAAACAACAGTGAAATGATGAAAACAAAACGAAAAAAAAATCGGTAATAATTGACAACAACGGAAATGAACGAAATGAATGAATGACAATTAAAAAAAAAAATCATCACAACACACCTGTTCATCAATGAGATTTTTTATTTTTTTATTTTTGGTCCGAATCGGTTTATTGGTGAATCATCGACATGCAGGAGACGCATGATCAGAGGCCTCAAACGCTAACACGAAAATCAACGTGATTGGCGATCTAAATGAATTTTTCAACGGAACCATGTGGTCGTCTCTGGATTAATAACGGATGTGGCGTATGTCCCTGATCCAACCATTCAATTTAATTTCGGTGGGTCAGCTTTGTCGAAAAGGAGCGAAATCAACACCAACAAGGATGGCATGGTCATTAGTAGATTCGGCAAACCAATAATTGTATGGCAAACTGGTTAAAGACTATATGAAAATTTGTTCGATCTGGAATTCGTGTTAAACAAAATGTTATGGCTTCAGCAGCCCCTCATCTATCGATTCAATGGCACTTTGGCACGAGCGATGCGGTCATTTTTCAACAAAGACGATCTCAAAAATGATGAATAACAAATTGGTCGATGGTGTTCCGATGTAATATTGCAGCAATATCTCATTCTGCGTCTGTAAATCCGAGGGTAAAATGACGGAACCTCCCATCTTAAAAAGTTCCAATCATCAATAATTTTGAAGCCTGGCAAAACTTCATCTTGATATTGGCGGATATACAACAAGAACCATTCACGGGAAATATGTATTATCTGGTTGCGGTTGATGAATTTACAAATTGCATCAAAATTGCTTTTCATGAAAAATCGACAAGAAACCCCTTGGAAAAGTCTTCGAAAAATAGTTAATGAAATCAAGCTTACGACACTGGTAATGATGTCCCTGAGCATTCGTACAGATCATGCGCTCTGAATTTCTTAGCAAAGACTTTAAGTCGTTCATCAACAGTCGAGGTATCCTTCATGAATTAGCCACTGTCAAACACACAATTCACAACAGAACGGGCGGGTGGAGCCGGGCCATACAGAAACATTGTTGATCATTCTATCTCCATGTTATCGTCATCAAATTTACCATTATCCCTTTGGGATGAATCAACAAATTGTTCTGTTTACGTCATAAATCGTATGGTAGATTCAAGAAATGAAATTCCATTCCGAAAAATATTTTGGTCGACGTGTTGATCTTTCGAATCTCTCCGTATCTTCGGTCTTATTAGGCTATGCGCTTTAATTAAAATGATCGACATAAATATTCATCAAAGACCAAGAAAGTTTTTATGGTTGGTTATCATTCAAATGCTACTTTATCGTGTTTGTTGTCCAACCAATCGACGTATCGAATTTGCTTTGTGACGTGAAATTTAATGAACAGGCTAAATGCCATATATCGACGAACGAGTCAGCAAATATTGACAAAAATTTAAATTCAATTGATAACGATGATCAAAATTCATCATTTTCATCAAACGAATCAACCGATTTGAATCATCATGTTCAAAATGTTACAAACCCCAACATCATTATCGTTAACGGGGGAAGTGACGTCAATTCTATCAACGACCCGATTGGGGGAAGTGACGAAAATGTTATCGATACCGATCTTGATGACAATGATTCCGAACATGTTGAAACAACCAATCGACGATCGGTTGGACGTCCTCTTGGATCATCAAATCGTAGATATGAAATTAATCCTGAACATGAATAGATTCTTTAGAAACCACGTTCAAAATGAAAGTGAAGCTGTTGTGGCCTGTGCTGGCGGTGAACCGAACCATTTGATGGAAGCTGTAAGCAGTATTGATTCCGACAAGGTGGAAACTGGCCATGCAACATGAATTTAATCTGAATCAATTAAAAAAAACAAAACGTGGGTTCTGGTTGAATCACCGTCTAATGTACGGGTGATATCAGTTAAATGGTGTTTGCGAATCAAGTTAGAAGACGGTCGGTATCGTGCGCGTCTGGTAGCAAGAGGTTTCGAACAGGATGATAAATCTGCTCTTGCGATTGTTGCGCTCCAGTTGTTTGCATGGAAAGTGTTAACTTGTTCTTCTCACTGGTTGCATCCATGCACATGTCATTGGTCAAATTCTGATGTATCCTGCGCCTCTTGAATGGCCAAATTACCGGAGACGCATATGTTAAACAACCACCTGGTTACGATGATGATTCTGGCCGTGTCTGCAGATTATTATTTCGAGGGTTTATATGGATTACGTGAAAGTCCCAGGAGCTGGAACTCCGCATTTGGTCAAACCATACGTAGGTTGCGAAGAAATTTGAATTCCACTAATCTCGATCCTGTTTTTATTTCATGCGAGAAATGCCGAATTCACAATAATGATCATTTACGTCGACGATGGCATCATTGCATCAACGAACAAGAAGAAACCGCTCGGAATTTTGATAAATTGTCTAAAGATTTGAAATCCGTAAAAGTTGAATCATCTCGTTTCCCTCGGTATTGAATAATTATGAACGAAATTATCGAAATCGGACTATATATTTAAAACAAGAACAATATTTATTGGACAAGTTGAAAAATTTTGGAAATGAATGAGATCGAGGACATTCCTGATACGCCGTTTGCCTGCGGTACGAATCCATATGACACCGAATCTAACCGTAGAAGATTATCCCATAGACAGGCTCGCCCAAGTTCTTCTATATTTGTCCCAGTAAAACACGTCCATGTATCATCCATAAAAAAAACTGAAATTAGCCTGGAATGGAAATCTAGACCAATTTTTTGTTTCTTTTTTTTATGGTTTCATTTATTGAATTCATTCATCGTAAATTGATTGATTTGATTAATTTATAAAAAAAAAAATATGAATATAATTCAAGAATCGAATGAAACCTGTAAAAGTAACATTATAATAATAATAATAATTTTTGGTTTGTAATATATAGTTCAAGGTTGTGGATCTTAATAACTATATGAATGATGTGGATATGATAATAGTGAAATAAAGAAAGAAAGAAAGAAAAAACAATTGGAAAATTATTCGATCTCATTGATTTTGTTGTATTATATTGATGGGTGTTGTCCCTTATATTTATAGGGAGAGAGAGAGAGGACAATGAATGGATTTATTGCTCAATAAAATGAAAATGAAAAAAAGAAATGGTAAACATTTTACATATTGAAGGCTATCACACATCATATCAGCCACAATGATCATCTTGATCCTGATCATGATGATCATCATGATGATTATGATAAAAAAGAAGCCATAAAAAAAATGTTGAATATTACCGACGAATTGAATATATAACTAATAATATTTGATGAGAATGAACGAATGAATCAATTTCCGGGTTCGTTGCTGCTGTTGTTTTATGACATTCATTCATTGATGTTCGATGTCGTATCTATCTATCTATTTAGTTGATAATAGTTAGGCCAAGGATTATTCTTCAATAATATTTGAAAACCGGCAATTTCTCATCAATGGACAGATCAATTTGATTTTATTATCGTTTTTTTTCGTTTGTTTTGTTTGTTTGTCGATTTTCAATCAATTTATCATTTGTCTCAACCTTGATTGGAAGAGGCTATTTTTTTTTTTCATTCATTCATTGATGATAAACACACAGATTGTCATTGACAATAAATAAACATTGTAAATTTGTTTGATTCGTGCCAGTGTGTGTGTGTGTGTAGTATTTATCGTTGAAAAAAAAGATGAATTTTAATTGAAAAATTTTTTCATCATCATCATCATCATCATTATCAATATAGATAATTCATTCAAAATAAAAAGGTTATTCATCTCGCAATCAATCAATGAACGAATGAACGAATGAATGAATGAATCAGTCAAACAAAAAAAAAAAGGATTTTGTTTTCGGGTTTTTTTTCACATCATCATTATCATCTTCAAATGAAAATCATTTCATTTCACATTGGTCAGATAGATAAATAGTGACTATAGTGCTACTGTGTTTGACAATGAAATGGAACAACAACAACAACAACAACAACAAAACTGAACCCAGAGAAGATGTAATGTGGAGTGGCAATGGCCAAGCCTTAACAATCATCATCATCAACATTAAATCTATTATAAATCTATCTCATGATGTGTGATGTTTCTCTCATGAATATTAAAAAGAGAGAGAGAAAAAGAAAATGTCAATATTATTGATAAGTTATGGATCGGTGTGATGTATGTGTGTGTGTGTGCGCATCCAATGTAAAATATTCATTATTATAAGAGTATAAAGTATTACAAACAACTGGGGACAAAATAAGTAATGAATATACCATATCATCATCATGGCATA